TTATGGGAAGGTGTAATATGACATAAGGAACATTTTTTATTCACATATTGAAGTCAAATTCCTTATGGTTGAAGAGTTGACTTTTCGGTCAACCGTACGATCAATCGATGACTATCGGACCGTCTGTTCATGTTCCGGATATTCTGAGGCCCTGAAACTCTTTGGATAGACTTTACCAAGCCATAGGAACTTAATGGACCATGATCCCACCTTTGGAACACCTTTTAAATCAAAAGTCAAGCTACAATTGACTTTTCCTGATCGAAAACCCTAATCGGGTATCTTGAACTGCATTGTTCTCAATTCCTGGGTGACAACCTCAAATTGGATTCATATTTGACCTAATGTAGTATCCTTAATTTTGTTTATAGTTGAATCAATCCAATACATTGATTGATCAAACCATCGAAGCCTCGATTTTGATGGTACGGAACCCTGATTCATCTGCATCTTGACAAAGATAAACTTGAAGTGGGTTAAGGTTAGTTAATTAAATGAATATGATCCTAAAATGAATATTATCCCTTCCTTTGGACAAATCAAAGTTCGGTTGCAAATTGAATTAAAGATTCAAACTAATCAATAGTTTGGTATCCAAATTTCACCGCGACACCTGGCCGTCTCTTTTTCCCCAAAGGTGACTTTTAACTCGACGTACCCCCACGGCCTTGTTGTCGTCCCGTTGAACCCTTGGAGGTCAGAGCCCACGTGAGGGGACAGGTTGGACTCGTCGAGTTGGAGGGTTGTGAAAAGGTGGATGTACATGATATCCACCGAGCTTCCGCCGTCGACCAGGATGCGTCTGACGTCGAAGTTTTCCATCTGCGCCCATATCAGGAGGGGGATGTTAGAGTTGGGGGAGCCATCAGGAAGCTCCTCGAGGTAGAAAGTGATCGGGTTGGATCGACCACGAAACTTGCCGAGGGTGCTCATTTTGCCAGAGTTGCTGGTGATGAGTTCCTCGAACGTCCTTTTTACCGATCCCACAGATAGGTTCCTCGGGGATCCGCCGGAGATGACCATGGCATTCGGAAAATACTCCCATCGGCTGGTGGGGCGTACGGGCTCGTCGGGGAGATTAGGTTCGGCAGGGAAGCCGAATTCTCTGAGCGCGAACCAATCCTCAGGTCGTCCGACGCAGAGGGCAACCTGCAGGTCGTTGTCACCGTCAGAAGAGGGGAGGTCTTCGACTCTCTTGGCCTCGAGGGCATCTTGCCGCGGGGCTTCTCCTCCCCGGGTGTATCTTTTCAGGTGGCCATCCTTGATCAAGATTTCGATCGCGTCCTTGAGGTGGATGCAGTCTTCTGTAACGTGCCTGTGGCTTTTATGGAAGCGGCAGAACTTCGATTTGTCCACGTTGGGCTTGGGGGGTGTCGGTCTGGGGAAGCGGACACCTGTCTGGACAAACTCCGTTTTGGCGCACTTGGCCAGTATGCGCTCGCGGGAAGCGACTAAAGCTGTATACTCTGTGAATCAGTCGGCAGGACCGCGTTGCTCGCGGTGTTCGCGGGGACGATCCTCCTGTCGGCAATCTCCTCCGCGCGTGATGGCTCGAGGCTCCGTCCTCTCGGGGCCCGCGGGGGGTCTCTCGTTCTCGAGTGTCCCGGGCGGAGTTGGCCGCTTGAGTCTCCTCGAATCAGATGTAATGTGCGGCTCTGTCGAGGAAGTCTTGTAGAAAGGCTGGTCGGTGTATGGCCACAACTTCGTAGAATTTGGAGTCTCAGCGCAGGCCTTGCTCCATCAAGTAACGTTTCATCTCGTCTGACGTTGTTACTTGTACTGCCTCTCGTGTGAACCTTTCGATGTACTTCCGGAGGGGCTCGTCCGGAGCCTAGATTATGGCGCCCAACGCGGCTTCCATCTTTGGATGGCGCCGGGATGCTGTGAAGTGTCTTGAAAAGAGGTCCTTCAGGACCCTCCATGACGTGACCGATTCTGGCTCTAGGCTTTTGTACCATGTCATGGCACCTTTCTTCAGTGTTGTCGGGAAGAGCCTGCATTTGATAGCTCTTCGGACATTTCGGTAGTCGAGCATGGCCTCGATGTCTTCCAGGTGGTCGTCTGGGTCGGAGGTACTGTCGTACATCGAGAGTGCTGGGGGTTTTTCCATCCCGTGGGGAATGGGAGCAACCATGATCTCTCGGGACAAGGGGGTCCTGTAGTCATCCTCGTCACTGAGAGTTGGTGATCGAGGGGGTGATGGCCCTATTGGCGGAGGTGCTTGATTTCGCGCCCTCGGCCTCCTGACCGGGGGTTCGACCCTTGGAGGTCTGGTCGGGGGATCCCCCCTGGTTGGCCGTCGCTCCCGGACTTGTCTCGTTGGGGACCTAGTCCGCTCCCGCACTACTTCGGGTTGGGGCCTCTCTAGCCGGGGTCGTCGATTCCTGGGACGAGGAGATGGACTCCTCAAATTTCCGTTCTAGTCTTCCCGCGGAGGGGACCTCGACGGGACTTCGTGCTCTAGTGCGCCAATCTGTGCGTTCTGTTGGAACAACAACTGATTTGTTTGGTTGATGGTCGTGAAGAGGGCGGCCACTGTCGGGTCCGCTCCGGCCGGGACATGGATGGGTTGGAATGCTGTCGGGCTCCTTGGTCGGAGAATAGTCTAGTGTGCAGCTTTCGCGGACGAGGGAGAGGCAGTCTGGTCGTCCCTCTCATCAGTCTCCGGAGGTTGGGACGTCTCCGTTTGCTTGCCGTCGTTCGTAGCGGGAGCGAGGATGAGGTCGTGAACGACATCGTCGTGGTGTGGGCTAGCCATGATCGCGGAATGTTGGTGAAACTTTGGTTCTCTGCTCAGAGGAACAGGGAAGTTTTAGGTCCCCACAACCGGCGCCACTGATCTGACCTGATCAGAAGGGGATCACTGAATGCCACGCGTCTTTGACTTACTGCCTGTTCACCGGTGTTGAAGAAGAGGATGAGGGTATACCTGCAAGACACTCTGATGCCAAAGTAAGCGTATGGGCAGAGTGGTCATAAATACAGAAAAGGGGTAAGAAGAGAATACCTGACCCTATTGTGGAAGAGGGTATTTATAGAGAGACCCCAACGCAGGGCCAACGGTCACTTGAGTTAGGCTGGATGGTCAAGCCCAACCCAAGTGACTGCTAGGGCTTACATGGCATAGTGAAGACCAGAACGTGGTCTTCGCCCTAGTTCAACTGCTCCGTGAACTCCGGAGAGTGGGTCGACCTGCTCTTTCGGAGGTGGGCAGTTGGTTGATGACGTGTCCCCGCGGAAGGGAGCACGCGGAGAACGTGTGAAGGACACGTTGTTCTGCTTGACAAGGGAGAATGGTCTGCCCACGGAGGGGAGGTTCTGCCCGACGGGGCAGTGTCTGGTCGACGGGGAGCCTTGTGTTTGACACAGATGAGGAAGGTTCTGCCCACGAAGGGGCATTGCCTGCCCGACGGAGATTCTCTGCTCGACGGGTGTGGCCCAAGCTGGATTGGGCTTGGCAGAATATTATTGGGTTGGGTCTGCCCGGTCAAGCCGAGGCCCAGGCCAGAACAGTTTTCGACCGTTACTTTCCTGCACTTTTAAGTTATTGCTTTTACCTTTGACGTCTTACATGTTTACTTTTTTTTATGTTCAAAGTCTTTTAGCATTCTCGCCTTTATTTTCAAAGTCTTTTATCTCTTGCCTTTTACTTTCGACGCTCTAAGAACTGCACTCTTTATTTTACAGCCTTGTTAATTTCCATGTTGTTTTACAAAGTTTTACAGTCGAATGTGGAGTTCAATTTAGATTTTTCTTTTAAACTTAACACATGTCCTAGGATTTGTATGGTCGATCCTGCAAGTTACTCAATTTTACCCAAAATTGATAGACCAGAGGTTGTTTACCAAATTTCACAGTAAACACTTCAACAGGTCGAAACTATTTAATTTGTATATCTTTTATATGCATTTTTTAACTATCATTATATTATATTTATTTACAAATAAAAACGATATTGTGCGACTCGTGGAAAGGTAAATAATCAATTTTATGTGTCTATATAAAATGTACTACTACATCATATAAATTCTATGTATATCCTGATAACTACTAAAATATGATAAATTAAATTAATAATCATCTTTTAAGACATTTTTTCTATTAATTCATACATATTTTTATATAACTTTTTAACCATAAAAAACATATCATGTCCATGGGTGGCAAAATGGACCGTCTGTCCCGCTCTGTCAAGAAAAAGGCGGTGCATGCAAATCTGTTAAGTGAAAATGGGCATAAAAATCTAGCTCGTCCCGTCACGGTGGCGGACTTACCCGTCTACTTTTTTATTTATTTATTTTTCATTTTTAATATATTAATATATTTGTTTTTTACATTTCAATTAGATTTTCCACTTATTTTTTAGAAGAAATTTTATAAAGTATCTTTTTAACAAATTTTACTTCAAAAAATATAGCATATATTTTCAAATAAATGTATAAAATAAAACCATTAAGAATTAAAATTAATAGAATAAATTAAAAAAGAGCGGGTTTAAAGTGTGACAAACTGAACGAATAGATGCAACGAACTTTGGTCAGCGACGAATTTTGACGGAATAAGATTTGGCGGGTGGCGGTCTTTAACGGGATGAATTTTGATGAACAACAAATTTAAAATTCCAATCTAATCTATTATCTTTTGACGGATGCACAGACCGACCTCGACCTGACATCAGGATACGTTTTGTCACTCTAATGCGCAAGTCTGTTTTCATAATATGGACTTTGTATTTAATTGAGGAAATGTTGCATAGTAACGCAGGATAGAATTCCCCTCTCATCAAAACATTCCTCTTTCGTCAATAAACAATTCAAATCTCACCCGTCCATCTTTCTCCACGTGGCAATCATCAACGGCCAATCCAAAAACTCCATAATCATAAATCACTTTATCGCTGTATACAACCAAGCCCTTCTTTTCTTTCTGCCTTTTTATATAAACCTAAAAACCCTATTAACCCCTCTCTCTCTCTCTCTCTACAATTTCAATCAACTAAGATGTCCACCAGCACCGATCACCACGAAGAGGAAGATGTTCCCGCCGGCGAAGACGAGGATACTGGAGCACAGGTTGCTCCGATCGTCAGACTCGAAGAGGTCACTGTTTCCACCGGAGAAGAAGAGGAAGAAGCTATTCTCGACCTGTATTTATACTTTCTCTCTATCGATTCTTGTTTACTGTCTTTATGATTTTTTGTTTGTTGATTTGTGATTTGTGATTTGTTTGTAGCAAAGCCAAACTGTACCGTTTTGACAAGGAAGGGAATCAGTGGAAGGAGCGAGGTGCCGGAACTGTGAAGTTTCTCAAGCATAAGGTTACCGGAAAAGTGAGGCTTCTCATGAGGCAATCGAAGATCCTCAAGATCTGTGCAAATCACCGCAGTGAGAATTGCTTTTGTTTTGGTTTTAATTGTTTTTTTTATACTTAATTGGTTTTGATTGTTGTGTTTGGTTAATTGATATGGATTGTTTTGTTTTGGTCAGTTTTGCCTAACATGACAGTGCAAGAGCATGCTGGGAATGAGAAGTCTTGTGTTTGGCATGCAAGAGACTATGCTGATGGTGAATTGAAAGATGAGCTTTTCTGCATTCGATTTGCTTCAATTGAAAGTAAACATTCTTTTAATCTATTAATTTTTTAAAATTGTGTTATTTGTAAAGTATGATTGGACTTGTTTGTTTTATAGGGCTTGTAAGTGTATATTCTTTTAATCTTGTGTATAGCGGCACTGTAACGGAGGGGATGCCGACCTCTATGGGAAGAGCTTTAGCAGAGTAGCCGCAATTTTGTAAATAGCGGGATAGCAGAGCAGAGCCGTTTCTGGCCTGCTATCATTTTCCCTCTAAAAAAACCATAATTATCCCGTTAATCTTGCAATGTTTTAGGGCAATTTTGGGTTTTTCAATCAAATTTGAGTTGAGACTCAACCTTAACCTTCCTTCATAGTGGTTTATGCACTTAAAGAGTCATGTGTGCTTTGATTTATATACATTTTATGACTCGGAGTTATTTGTTTAATTTTACATTTAATATATGTTTATGATCATTAATATATGTAGTTTGTCAAAAAAATGATCAAATAGAGCTATCATCCCGCTATCCCACTTTTGGGGTCGGCTGCTCTGTGCCACTCTTCGGGAATGACTACTCTGGTACCATTAATCTAGTTAAGTCTACTAAACTCCTGTGCTTGGTATTGGTATTGGTATTGGTAATTGCTATTTCATGTGTTTGTAATGACCTAATTAAGTAAAGTCTTTGTTCTTCATCCACTAGCAAGTTGCAATCTAAGTGGATTACATGATTGTAACTTTTTGTTCAATTTTAGGTGTTTTGAATGTGGTAGTTGGATGACCTGTGTTTTTGAATTGTTGAGTTCACTGCTTTGCTAACCCAACTTATATATGAACTCGTCGTCTTGTTTCTCTGTGCCATTACATAAAATCTTGTTGGATTTGTGGGTTTATGTGCTCATTCTGTGATGGGTTATTGGAATAGCTCTTACATGTGTTCCTTTCTAATAATGTGTTTTACTTGTTCATTTGGATATTTGCCATCATGCACCGGAGGTGTTAGTTGTGTTTGTGCCATTGTGTTTTGGCCAACAGATGGTACTTCCAAGTCACTACAAGGATCACTAGTTGAGTTCCTATTGTGAAATGACTATTTGTGAAAAAAAGACTTCTGGGTACTTTATTGAGTTTTCTATTTTTCTGTCATGTATAAAAAATTGGAGTGGTGTTTGTATAGGTTAGGTTCCTCTTGTTTGATTGTAAAATAATTTCCAAGTCACAACAAGGACCACTAGTTGAGTTCCTATTGTGAAATGATTATTTGTGAAAAAAAGATGTGTTCAATTTATTGGAGTTTTCTATTTCTCTGTCTTGTAAAAAAATTGGAGTGGTGTTTTGTATAGGTTATAGGTTCCTCTTGAGTTTGATTGTAAAATAAATATTGATAAATGAAATTATGTTGAAATAATTTATTTAGATGCATATGGTGGTTGTTTGGATGGATATCAATTGTGTCTTTTTTTCTTGATTTTATGTCATGGAATTCCAACATCTACTACAAGTACTTATTTCATATGATCCGGATCAAATTGTTTAGACTTCCAAACTTGAAGATGCGAGTGAGTTGAACCTGTTTTCTATGAGTGTGACACTACCCAAACATCTCCAATGTGTTAGCAGCTTAGATGCCACCTCTATTTGGGCATTGTTTAATGATCCTATTTTACTTAACAAAATTAGTTTACAGTTTATATAGTGTTTGCCCTTATGTAGAATGACATACCCTTTTTTTTAACAATGCTTTTCCGTGATTAACATGGGAACTTAATCTGATCCTGTGACACATTTATGATATTAATTTATGCTAGCTTTGCTCTGGAGAATGAATAAGTGCTAATATTTGTTTCTTTGCTGCCTTTTCTCCATTTGTATGCAAACATTTCATATATTAACTGTTACTTTGTCTTGCTGCTAGATTGCAAAAAGTTCATAGATACATTCCAAGAAATTGCCGAATCCCTGAAGAAAGAGGAAAACGAGGAAGTAACTGCTGCTGCTGAACTCCTTGTGAAATTGAGTGTTGATCTGAAATCAGATGCAGAAAAGAAAGATGAAGAGAAATCTGAGGACAAAATTAAGGAGCAAGAATCTGCCCCAGAAAAAGAAAACAAAGGAGATTCAGAGAAGGAAGCTAAAGAGTCTGGTTCATCTGCTTGATTATGATGGTTGACAAGGCAATATGACAAGGTTAGGTGGTTGACCTATGTGCCGCCACTCTTATCATTGCTCTCTCATAGTCATAGTCTTCAGATTGTTTTGTTGCTTTGCTACATTATTGAGTGGTCCATATACTTTGTTGAGTTATTGTCAGCAAAGTAGGTTTTGAGTCAGGTTTGAATCCCTGAATCTAATGATTCGCGCTTTCAGGGTCTGGGAGATATTTACATTCTCTATTCATGTATTTGTCATTGAAATTTGAGTGAGTCATGTTGCTGTCGGGGAAGGGAAGGGTGCAGTGGGGGGATAGTAGTAGTAAAGTACTATAAACAAAGGTTTTGAATGCATATTGCTGAGTATAACATTTTATAGACTCGTATCGCCGGTACATAACTTGCTCTTGCTACATTTTCTCTTTTCATCTAAAAATAAAGCATTCTAGTTTTAGTTACCACGGTTAGACTTGATCATGATGCCTAAGATTCATAACTTGAACTGATTAGAGATGATGTGATTGAACAAAATGGAGAAATGCTCTATAATGTTACAAAGGAAGGAGGGTAAATTACACATTTCATTAGGAGCTTAAAATACACTTTTATTTTATTTTAAAGCTTAGATGTAGTAGAATCTATGTGATCATTGATTGGATTGCATGATTGAATGAAATAGAAGATGATGACTCAGTAGAATAATTTGAAATCAAACATGATTACTTTTTCTGAGGTTTCTATGCTGTTTCCATGAATGTTTTGTGTTTCAGTAACAAACAAGGCTGTGATGAATAAAGTGATTTTGATTTACTCCTGTTCTTTCTGCTATGAATTTCAAGTTTGAAGTTTAAGTATTATAATCTCTTTAAAACTTGAACTTATTGAATGATTAAATGCTTTGTGGATCAACATTGTTACTATTCTCATATAATTCTACATTCTACTCTCCACAGTATAATATAATCATTTTATTACAGGTAAAAATAGTTTAATTTTAATACATAATCTCATGGATGTGTGTGTAACAATCTTTTGTAAAGAACGAGATACCTGCAAAAACAATACATGCAAGTTTCTTTTTTGTGAATTTGTTAATATGATCCTTATTCGATGGAAGCCGGTGGGCACAACGTGAATGAGTGCGTTCTGCGAGTTTTAATTGAACATTATTTTAATTAAATTAGTGTTAGAAAATTCTAATAAGAGAAGTGATTAAGTTTTTATTCAATTTTTGTCATTTTTATGTGGTTACCTAGAGCTTTTTATATCAATTATTTTAGAAAGTGAATGTGTTAAATCTTATGTTATGCAACCTATTTTGTGTGACTAAGTCATAACTGACATAAGTTTCATCGAACATAAAATAATTATGTCATGATTGAGTATGTCCTATGTCTAGCAATTATAATTCTCAATTGCTATTTAGATTGGTTTCTTCAATTTCGTAGATGCAAAGCAAAAAAAAAAGAAATTAATATAAAATCATAATTGAATATCTATAAGAACTTTATCATCATAAAGAGTAAATCTAAATGAATTACGTGATTCACATTATTGAGAGCAAATTCATCTAAGGAAACTCAATCTATGTGAACACTCACAAGAGATTATAAGAAAGCAATAAAATCTTCCCAACTCAAATGCTCTAAAATATGTCTCTATTCACAAAATTCAAAACTCTAATGATCGAATGTATTTTAAAATTTATAGAAAAATCCAATTCTCGCAACATCATGTCGTTTTGCTCTAGAGTTGCGTCATGATTTTTGTGTTATGTGAATCGTAGTTAACGTGCTACTTTTGCATTGTGTCAGCGTTATAACTTTTCCAATGATGAAATAACGCGCCACTTTGCCTTTAGTGCGACACGTACGTATTAATTTTGTTTTTTCTATGCTTGAAATAACATCGTTTTGCTTTATTGGTACAACACGATTGATGAAAACCCAACGAACAACTTGGTCAAACAAGACTATTATATACCACCATCTTATAAATAGCTAGGCTCAAAACACGCATGTTGAGAACAACCATCAATGCTTATTACACAACTGTTGAACACCAACACCATTGCTAATGATGTGAATGTTGAGCACCACCGTAAAACATTATCACAAATAATTAAGCTTCTTTTGTATTCTCACATTATACACATTCCTTGCACAAATTTATTTGATTTGCAATAAGTAGAGCTTCAAAACTGCAAAGCATTTACCGTAAAGACAAATCAAGTGTTCATATTTGGTACCCAAGTCATTTTGGATTTTGAAACGTTAGTCATTTTAAGAGGTCTAAAAGTATTCCCTTTTGACACTCTTAATTTAGCATAGCAAAAGGTTCAAGATAACCAAGTTTATTATAAAATTTTTATTTAAAGATCAGACGATTATATCTTTTCTTATCATGCCAAGTATTACTAAGCGATCTATTATGTTTATAACTTAATCCATTTTTATTAAATGAATCCGTTTGGTTAGAAATAATTAAATCAAATTTATTTTTATCTTTAGTAAATTTTTCTAAAGTTTCATGAAAATTGGTTACTATATTTCTTAAAGATTCACAAGAATCACAATTATCTGATTTTAAGGATTCACTTTTAATGCTAGCAATTTCTTCACCAAAAATCTTATTACTATTTCATGAGAACTCAATATAATCTTTAGGGTCAATGACATTGGTTTTTAACTCCTCATAATCTTTAACAAGCTTAGTACTTTTAAAGAGTTTTCAGTAAGTAAAAGAAGTTACTTCAAACTGATTTCCTTCATCGTAGGTGGCTTTAAGACACCTATGTTCTTCTTCCTTTAATGATTATTCATAAAAGTCCTCAAAAGTGTTGTTAGGAATATTCTTGAAAACATCTTTGCAGGAATCTCTACAATAATCTCGATATTTCATCTATTGATTCTTCGTTTATTTCTACCTCTTCTTCATATGAGACATGATACGAGGGATCTATGAAGATTTTTCCCGACGTTGACTCCTCACAAAATATTCTAGATGTTATATCTCTTCATCATCTTTACTTTCAAATACTATTATTGTTTAAGCTTCTTCACACATTCTACTCAACAAAGCTTCTTCAATGTTTCTTCTGAATGTAACTTATTCATCAACTCCATCGGATGGTGACTCTTTGGATGATCGCCCATCTATCGAGATTGTTCATTCAAAGGAAACTAGTGGAGTCGATTCTACGATTTCTTCAAATGATCCTCTTGATGAGTATCATTATAATGAACTTGATTTTATTCCTTCATCATTCAAAAACTGGATTAATTCATTGATTCTCTTGATTATTTCCTCCTTTCTTAATTCTTATTGAAACAAAGACACAACTATCTTTTGAATTGAGGATTGAATCAGATCTCTAATTTCAATTCTTAATTCTTAGATAGTAGTTAGATACAAAATTTATAACATAACCTTCAATAATTCCAATGGTTGAGTATCATTTATGAGATCTTTGAATTTAAAACAAAGTTTTAATTTCTCTTATCTTAATCGGTCTAATGAAAATGAAGTTTATTTACTACTTCACCATTAAAGAATAAAATAGGAATAAAAAGACCATTGATTAGAATATCTCACATTTCAAAATCTTTTGCTTTGATAAAAATTTAAAATTCCACTATCTATGATTCAAATTTTCACCATCAAACGTTGAAGGTGTATTCATGAAAAGTCCCATGTTAAAAACAAAAGTGTTTGCAGTCATCATCTTTCTGCTGAGACAATTAGTCTTTAAATAAGAGTTAATATCTGTTGCCACTTGTTATACATGTAATCCAAACACAAGAAGGGGACAAGATGAATTATGTTGATTTGAAAAACCTTTTCCAAATAAAAGTATTTGACACAATCAGAGTTTAAAATTTTTTTGTGAAATAAACAAGAAATAAGCAACAAAATTATGAAAATCAGAGAAAAGGAAATGCATCAGAAATAAATAACTAAAATGTAAAGAGATATGAGAAGAGAAAGATACACAAGAGATTTAGAGGTCCGACCTAATGATTTTTCCTACTCCGTTCCACAAAAATTTGTTCTTGAGAGTTTCCACTATAATGTGAGTTTTTGATAAGTTTTGCTCATGAGCCTGTCGCAACGCGAAAATTCATTTCGAACATACGACCCTCGCGCAAAAGGCGCGGAAATGCGGTTCGACAGAGTCGCCACCGAACTTTATTCTTCCCGAATAAATGCATAAGGAACACGACTGTCGCAACCATATTCCTGGGTTCGGGAGTCGGTTACGCGAGGGGAAGGTATTAGTACCCCTCACGTCCGTCGTACTCGACGGGAACCTCTTAATTCGAGTTGTGATGGATGTTAGCTAAGCTTAATCTTCTCTTCTCACTACTAAATACTAAACGACACTATAAAGGCTAAAGACGCTAAGGGGAAAAGGGATGGTTAGAGGATAGGGTGCTCGCCAAGGATTGGGGCCCTTGTGCCTACGTATGCTCATTCGGACGAGAATGAGAAATCAGAGCGTCGTAGTTCGACTACGGGAAAGGATGGGGGGAAACGAAAGATGGAGGGGATTGTGCTCGCCAAGATCATCGCAATCTTGTGCCTACGTATCTTACATTCAAGAGTGAATGAAGAATCAGAGCAGTCATAGTTCGTGGTAACAACCACGAAAAGAAACGAGATTGAATGGGTTTGAAGTGGGTACGGATGATGATTACTCGAAGTTTAAGAAAGACTTCTCGGACCCAAGTAATCGGGAGAGCGAACCAAAGACTCGGAACACTCTCTTTTTCATCATGAAGGAATGATGTGTTTGAAAGGATAAGGTTGAAATGATGACGATCACTTGAAACCTAAGAAATACTTCACGGACCCCAAGTAATCGGGAAAGTGAACCAAAGACTTGGAACACTCTCTTTTTCATCGTAAAAGAAGTTTGTTTGAATTTGAAATGGTGTATAAAAGGATGAGATTGGTCGGATGACGACTACTTGAAACTTGAGAAAGGCTTCTCGAATCCAAGTAGTC